GCAGCGAGTTTGAAAGTTGCAGGCTCTGGAGCATGTACTTGTTGGAAGAAGACAAAACCGATGACAAGACAGCCTCTGAGGGACGGATCAAATGGAGATGGATCATGTGAACTGGTCGCTGTCGTCCGACATGTTGGCGCCTCTTCTCACTCGCCTCAGCAGAAATGGGTCGGCCTCGGCTCCCTTTGAACCGGCAGAAGGGTCTCGAAACTTGAAGATATGACCTCTCAAAAACACTATTTCAACTGTAACCAAGGCAATTGCTCTCATTCGTGATATCGAGCGAACTGGCTTTAATCAGAGAAGACTGAAAGTTGGAAATTAGGGTCATTTTTGTGAAATAATTATTATGCTTTTGCATAAAAGATGGGTGTTAAAGAATGCTCAGATTGACTGAACTTTTCATTTAGACGGACAATACCATTTCAGTAAACCGGGACTAGCGAGTTTATCCCATCGGTAGCGATTCATCTGTGCTGAGTTGTAGCCTGCCACGTGGCGACACACAAATTCATAACCAGAAAGCATCACTTAACAACCGTGAGTGTTACACTTTATTCGAGAAAGTGGTCGACTTACATAACCTAATTTTACGGCATTCATGAGGCATCTCATGATTTAGCTTGTGAGAACTGGAATGGAGTCATTTTATGAATATCTTCGGTTCAGCTGCGTCTTGAAATGAAAAGTCGACAAGCAGAAGAGATGGATATTCGAATAAAAATTGGCTTCAAAGAAACCATGTTTAGGTAATTGTAAAGCAAATTTTCATTTCAAAATACAAAGTTGGATGAAACAAAGACGTAAACAGACTTCACCAGAAACGGACGGAGAAGTGTGCCAAATCAAGTCATTCGTGGGTCTACCGCACCAAAAAAGAACGACAAATGACTGATGTTCCGCAGCCGCATGGCTTTGCTACGAGGTACAGGTTGACACAGCCGACAAGACACATTCCAGTGATTCAGCTAAAAACGGACTGAGCTCTTGCACTTGATAGGAAATAACGCAAGTTAATGCAAAGAGCTGCACGTTAATAATAATGCAAAAAGACTATTTGTCTATATCAAAAAAAGCCATAAAGTGATGCAGGAACTGATGATGCTGATTATCGTTATACTCTCATCTCGCTTGAACTAGTAGGTAATCCTCAAATCATATCATCACTTCATCAGCACCCCAGCCAGAGATTTCTGTCAGAAATTAATCATCGTCGCGAAAATTAATTTCGTCAAAAATGAAGGAAATTTAAATAAGGCCTACGGTTAGTCTCGAAGTCTACTCACTTTTGAATATAAGTAGTGTAGCCCAGTGTAATGTTATAAAGACTGTCATTTCGCATGAAAGTGTATCTGTTGAAGAGATTTCTAGGTCGATCTCACCAGACGACGACAGCTGATACTCGATGTTCGGCTGCCGTCTGATCTTCCGCCTCGTTCCGGGACGGACGAAAATGGCAAACTATTCAATTGAGCACTAATCAGGACTCTATTCTACATGCTATACATACTCATGACTAAAAACTCAACTAACTGCATGTAGATGGATTGATAGACAGATACAGAATGATTTGATAAGTTCTCTTTCATCTTCTTTGGCCAACACAAGTTCGACCATATGAACGGACAATCTTGTCACTTTGGGCTTTGGAAACAATCACTTCCAGCTCCGACGATGTCCGTGAAACAACGGACGCTGTACTAAAGCCGAACACCTTCAGAAAAACCGGACTCAGACGCCGTCTTCCGGTCAGATCGACCTACGAATCTGTTGCTAATGCACTCTTTTATAATGCAACAAAAGTAAGTAGGACTGGGTCATTGTGGTTTAATGA